ATTTTTTATTTTATTTTGAGACGGAGTTTCACCCTGTCGCCAGGCTGGATGGAGAGCAGTGGTGCGATCTTGGTTCACTGCAACCTCTGCCTTCCGGGTTCAAGTTGATTCTTCTGCCTCAGCCTCCCAAGTAGTTGTGACTGCAGGCGTGCGCCACCATGCCCAGCTAATATTTGCATTTTTAGTAGAGACAGGGTTTCACCATGTTGGCCAGGATGGTCTTGATCTCTTGACCTGATCCTCCCTCTTTGGCCTCCTAAGTGCTGGAATTACAGACGTGAGCCACCGTGCCTGGCCAGAGTCTGAATTCTTAGGTAGTACACCATTCTGCCCACCTTCACTCAAATGAATGGAAATTCTGAACCTTTATCATATTCCTTTGGATAATGAGATGTAACAGTTTTTTTGTGTCTGTTATGTCTTCACACTTTTAACTTATTTTCTCTGTGGGTTTTGAAGGCACACAGTTATGACTCTTAAATGGAGTTTGATAACATTTATATACTTTAAGTTTAAAAATATCCTGATCTTGTGAATTATTTTCCCTAAAAATGTTTGTAAGCACATCATTTTAATGAATCTAGGGCTCTGTTTTATTATTTGTTTTTTCTACCTTGCTTTCTTTTAATTTCACATCTTGAGAAATATAATGGGATTATTTTTAAAATCTCTTGTTATTTCAATAGCAGTAATATTTGATGGCTTTCCTTTTTTTTTTTTTGAGACGGAGTCTCGCTCTGTCACCCAGGCTGGAGTGCAGTGGCCGGATCTCAGCTCACTGCAAGCTCCGCCTCCTGGGTTCACGCCATTCTCCTGCCTCAGCCTCCCGAGTAGCTGGGACTACAGGCGCCTGCCACCTCGCCCGGCTAAGTTTTTGTATTTTTAGTAGAGACGGGGTTTCACTGTGTTAGCCAGGATGGTCTCGATCTCCTGACCTCGTGATCCGCCCGTCTTGGCCTCCCAAAGTGCTGGGATTACAGGCTTGAGCCACCGCGCCCGGCCTTGATGGCTTTCCTAAACCAACTTATTTTATATAATCTCACTCATTAAAAACTATCAATTTAGAGTTGAAAAAAGTTGTTGAGATACTACATTTTTATATTTTTGATAACAGGTTATTGAAGATATATATGAAAAAGAGATTGTCAAATCAAGGTAGGAATGAGTTTAAATTTTATACAATGTGATTGGGGTGGACCAAGTTGGATCTTGGCTGAATTTCTATGTGGTCATAACTTGAACCTTTTTTTCTGTTTCAAATTGGTCATCAAATTGACTAGAAAAACTTTAGGTGCTGAAGAGTCATAAATTATTTTTTGCCTTCTAACTTTTGGCTCAGATTAGAGGTATCAAATCCCATAGCGTTTATTTGGATTTAGATGGAATTTGAGAAAAAGTAAACATGAAGATTTTATTTCAGTTCAACTAGTATTTTCTTATTTCTGATTCACTTTTTAAAAATATTCTTAAAAAGTTATGAAAGTAAGACAATATTAAATTTACAATAATGTAGCATATATATGTAATGTATAAAATGTATAATAATAAACACAAGTGATAAAAATTATTTTTGAGCAATATGCTGTAAGGGGTGAGTTTCAATAAATCATCTTTTCTGCCCCCAATCCCTGGTTCATGTATATGATTCATATACATCTGTTCTATTCCCCACCCCTTCATGATTTTCAAACACAAAAGGGTTTGTACTCTACATGCCATTTTTTCATTATGCTTCTTTTAAAAAATTTAACAATGTATCTTAGGTATCTTTTTATATATGCACCTGCAGACATGTATGCCCAGTGAGTATTTTAAAAGGATATTTGACTAAATGGGTCAAAGACCATCTTCAGGATTTTGTCCTTTATTTGGAAAACAGTAGGAATTAAGAAGAGTTGTAAGCACAGTGGTATTTGAAAAAGAGATTTTTTTTTTTTTTTTTTTTACTTTTTTTGAGACAGGGTTTCACCATGTTGGCCAGGCTGGTCTCAAACTCCTGGCCCCAAGTGATCCACCCGCCTCAGCCTCCCAAAGTGCTGTGCTGGGATTACAGACATTAGCCACTGCACCCAGCAATTTGGATTTGGAGGGAGCAAGAGGCAGGGAATTAGTTAGGTAAGCATTGAAGTAGTCAGCTTCAAGATGTCATAGATTTGACTTGCGTGGAAAGTTGGGAGAGGAATTGTCCATTTGAGAAAGATGGAAGTGGAAAGACTTGATGTTTGGATGTGGCAGATGTGGGAAAAGGAGAAATCTAAGAAGATCCTAAAATTTTTTGCTTAAGTTGCTGAGTGATTAGTGATGCTATTACTGACTTTTGCCACGTTGTTGGGGATAGGATTGGGTGTAGATCATTATTTCACTTTTGAATATCTGGAATTCTAGCTACATAAGAGCCATGAAGATGGAGATATGGAATAAGCAGTTGGATATCCAGGTGTATAGCTCAAAAGAGATTGGGTTGGCTGGGCATGGTGGCTCATGCGTGTAATCCCAGCACCTTGGGAGGTCGAGGTGGGTGGATTGCTCAAGCCCAGTAAGTAGTTCAGGACCAGTTTGAGCAACATGGCAAAACCCTGTGTCTAGAAAAAATACAAAAAATTAACTGGACATGGTGGCATATGGCTGTAGCTCAGTTACTCAAGAGGATGAAGTGGGAGGATCACCTGAGCCCAGGAGGTTAAGGGTGCAGTGAGCCACAATCGTACCACTGCACTCCAGCCTGGGTGACAGAGTGAGACCCTGTCTCAAGACAAACAACAAAAAGAGACTGAGTTGAGCCTACTTTGTATTAGCCACCATTTCAATGCTAACAATACAACAGAAAAGAGGGGAGATAGAGTCCCTGGAGGGGACTCTCCTGGAGGTTACATTCTAGTGGGTCACACAGACAGATGTATATATATCTATATATCTATATATAATGTAATGTCAGGAGATAGTAAGTGCTATGAATTAAAGTGTGGTTAGAGGATAATGACAAGGGCTGGTATTTCAGAATAATTAGTCAAATTCTTGCTGAAGGTAGGACATTTGAGCAGATTTGTAACATATGGCCTGTTGGTCTGAAGGTGAGTTTGAATGAAATTTCTTGAGAAAACTAAAGACGAGTGGGTGGATTTATTCTAGTATCATTTTTTTCTTCTATATTAAGGTTATATAATTTGAAAATTATTTTGAATCTTCAGAATGGGTTTTCACTCCAGTGGAAAGTGATTGTTTATTTTTTCATTTAAACCCTTGCTATTAATATTTCTTCTTCAGAGGTGATTTTTTATAACAACTAAAAGCTGCTAATGATTTTTAAGCCGTATACATTTGGCTACTTTTTGTGTGTGTATGTGTGACAGGGTTGCTCTCTTTCACCCAGATTTGAGTGCAGTGGTGTGATCTCAGCTCATTGCAACCTCTGCCTCCTGGGCTCAAGCAATCCCCCAACCTTAGCCTCCTGAGTAGCTGGGACCACAGGTGCAAACCACCATGCCCAGCTAATTCTTTTTGTATTTTTGGTAGAAACAGGGTTTCGCCATGTTGCCCAGGCTGGTCTCACTCCTGAGCTCAAGCAGTCTGCCCGCCTTGACCTCCCAAAGTGCTGGGATTATAGGAATTAGCCACCACACCCAGCCCCTATGTTATTCTTAGTTCTGAAAGAAGTTGCTGTCTTTGGCATGGCTAAGATTTATTGTGGCACTTTTAACAGTCATTTTCTTATCTTGTACACGTTTATTATTATTATTATTTTTTAATGTTTTTTTGAGATGGAGTTTCGATCTTGTTGCCTAGGCTGGTTTGCAATGGCGCAATCTCGGCTCACTGCAACCTCCGCCTCCTAGGTTCAAGTGATTCTCCTGCTTCAGCCTCTCGAGTAGCAGGGATTACAGGCATGCTCCACCACACCCGGCTAATTTTATATTTTTATTAGAGATGGGTTTCTCCACGTTTGTCAGGTCGATCTTGAACTCCCGACCTCAGGTGATCCGCCTGCCTCGACCTCCCAAAGTGGCTGGAATTACAGGCGTGGCTACCGTACCCGCCCACGTTTTTTATTTTCTTTTTTTTTTGTTTGACGACGGAGGTCTTCGCTCTGTCGCCCAGGCCTGGGCTGCGTGGCCACAGATCTCAGTCCTCACTGCAAGCCTCCGCTCCCGGTTCATGCCATTCGCTTCGCTGCCTCAGGCTCCCAGGTAGCTGGGACTTACAGGCATCCGCCACCCTCACCGGCGCTATTTTTTTTTTTGTACTTTTTAGTAGAGACGAGTTTCACCGTGTTCGCCAGGATGGTCTCGATCTCCTGCCCTCGTTGATCCGCCCATCTGGCCTCGAAGTGCTGGGATTACAGGCTTGAGCCACCGCGCCGGCCCACGTTTTTTATTTCTAAGTGTACTTCTGTAATACATAAACTGTAGTATGTATTTAAAAATTTAACATGGTAAAACCCTGTCTCTACTAAAAATATAAAAATCAGCTGGGTGTGGTGGCATACACCTGTAATCCTAGCTACTCGGGAGGCTGAGGCAGAAGAATTTCTTGAACCCGGGAGGCGGAGGTTGCAGTGAGCGGAAATTGTGCCATTGCACTGCAGCCTGGGTGACAGAGCGAGACTGTCTCAAAAAAGAAAAAAAAAATTTAAGTGACCAATTGTTTAGGCTAGGTCCTGAGGAAATTATTTTGCTGCGCTATGTGCTCATGGCATTTTCAGTATTAGGGGAATGGCTTGATGTAACAGCCATGTTACTGTATGGTACATTACACAATTGATTCATTTTTGCTGTTCTTGCCATTATCAGATTTGGCAGGCTTATCTTAATGAATTCTTAATCCAAGTTTGATTTTTAAAATATTTTAAAAATAATAGTTAAGTGCTTACTATGTGCCAAATTCTACTCTAAGCACCTTGCATTCTGCTATAAGCATCTAGCTTGTTTATTCCCACAACAACCCTATAACAATATTATTATCCTCATTTTATGGATAAGGAAACTGAAGTAGGTAGGTTAAATAACTTGCCCAAGATACTTCCCAGTAGAGGCACACCAGGTATTGAATCCTGGTTCCCTGGTTCTTTTTTTTTTTTTTCTGCTCTGTTCTTTTATTTTATTGAGATGGAGTTTCACCGTTGTTGCCCAGGCTGGAGTACAGTGACGCAATCTCGACTCACTGCAATCTCTGCCTCCTGGGTTCAAGCAATTCTCCTGGTTCAGACTCCTGAGTAGCTGGGATTACAGGCATGTGCCACCGTGCCCTGCTAATTTTTTGTATTTTAGTAGAGACAGGGTTTCACCATGTTGGCCAGGCTAGTCTCGAACTCCTGACCTCAGGTGATCCGCCCACCTCAGCCTCCCAAAGTGCTGGGATTATAGGTGTGAGCCACCGTGCCTGGCCTTGAATACTCTGTTCTTAAATAAGAGTCCTTTGCCTTCTAGAAACCTCTTAACTAGTACACTTTGGTATGATGTGTAATCCTGTTATGAATCAACTAAGTGGTTTTTATGCTTTCAAAAAGGGTGATTTACAGAGTAATCTACTTTTGCCAAAGTGTTTATTTTTATTTGAAATGTATGGACTCTTTTATTATGAAATGTAACACAGAAAAGAGTGTAAAACAAATGTGTAGACTTACGAATTATAGTAATAATTCATAACCACCACCTAGGCTGAAAAACTCCACGAACATTGTCGTGTTGCAGAAGCTCTCTGCTTGTTCCTTTTCTTTATCATTATAATATGTAAGTATGCAAACAAGAACACTATAATTTTGGTTCTTTTTCAACTTTAAATAAATAAATAGAATCACACACTATGTATTCTTTTGTGGCTAGCTTCTTTTTTTTTTTTTTGAGATGGAGTTTTGCTCTTGCCGCCCAGGCTGGAGCACAGTGGCGTGATCTCAGCTCACTGCAACCTCCGCATCCTGGCTTCAAATAATTCTCCTGCCTCAGCCTCCCGAGTAGTTGGGATTACAGGTGCCCGCCACCACACCCGGCTCATTTTTTGTATTTTTAGTAGAGATGGGGTTTCGCCATATTGGTCAGGCTAGTCTCGAACTGCTGACCTCAGGTAATTTGCATGCTCGGCCTCCCAAAGTGCTGGGATTACAGACATGAGCCACTGTGCCTCGTGTGGCTGGCTTCTTTTGTTCACTGTTATTATTTATTGTTTTAATCATCTACTTAATAGATCTAGAAGTAGCTAGCTCAGAAGTTAATAATGTCAAGGCCTTTGTCAGTCTTGTCAAAAGGTTTTATTGATTTTTTCCGTATGATTGTGGTGGGGATGCCACAGCTGCAGACCTCATGTTTCACACAGTCATGTCCCAGAAGAGGAAGTTGTTGGGGTAGGTGGGAATGTAGTAGAAAAGAACTCTCATTTGTGCGGCCCCTTCTCTTTTTTCTTATCATTTTTAATGATACAGTAATAGACCCAGTTTGTCATACATAAATTATTCAGCTTTGGAAGGATTTAATGAAATGCACGTTAAGTCCTTGGCACAGTGTCAGGCATAATGCATGCTCTCAGTAAATACTGGTAACTTAAAAAAAAACCGTCCAAAAATCCTTCAAATTATTTATATTTGTGGTTATTGTTTGTAACTTTTCATACTTATTTTCATTTATTTATTTATGTTTTTGAGATGGAATCTCACTCTGTCACCCAGGCTGGAGTGCAGTGGCACAATCTCAGCCCACTGCAACCTCCGCCTCCTGGGTTCAAGCAATTCTCCTGCCTCAGCCTCCTGTGTAGCTGGAACTATAGGCACATGCTGCCACACCCGGCTAATTTTTTGTATTTTAGTAGAGATGGTGTTCCACCGTGTTGCCCATGCTGGTCTGGAACCCCTGAGCTCAGGTAATCCACCCTCCTTGGCCTCAAAGTGTTAGGATTGCAGGCATTAGCCACCGTGCCCAGCCTTCCATACTTACACCTTTAAAATTCTTCTGATGTGGTGTCTAGTTCATGGACCTGTTTTTATATAAGTACGCTTTCAGTTAAGCTGTTCACTTTATCTGTCTCAGAGAGTTCACTGGCAAAAGTATAAAACTCCAAATTTAATGAATACCACTGAGATTGCTAGAAGAGGAATTGAATGTTTTTCAGACTGCTTTTGCTTTATTTTGACACATCAAGACTTATTTTTCAAGGCCAGGCATGGTGGCTTGTGCCTGTAATCCCAGCACTTCGGGAGGCCGAGGTGGGAGGATTACTTGAGCTCAGGAGTTTGAAACCCGTCTGGGCAACATAATGAGACCTCATTTCTACTAAAAATCAAAAAAATTAGCTGGACGTGGTTGCACGTGCCTGTAGTCCCAGCTATTTGAGAGGCTGAGGTGGGAGGATCGCTTGAGCCTGGGAGATTGAGACTACAGTGAGCTGTGTTTGTGCCACTGTACTCTAGCCTAGGCAATAGAGCAAGCTCTGCCTCCAAAAAAAAAAAAAAAAAAAGACTTATTTTTCACTTCTGTAGTTATAAAGGAAAGTTGGCTGCTCTACCATTTTTATACATGAGGAAACTGAATTGCAGAATGTTTAAAAGACGTCAGGTGTGGTAGCTCACGCCTGTAATCCCAGCATTTTTGGAGACTGAGGTGGGTGGATCACCTGAGCTCAGGAGTTCGAGACCAGCCTGGACAACATGGGGAAACCCCTATCTCTACTACAAATACAAAACATTTGCCAGGTGTAGTGGCACGTGACTGTAATCCCAGCTACTCGGGAGTCTGAGGCACAAGAACTGCTTGAGCCTGGGAGGCGGAGGTTGCAGTGTACCGAGATCGCACCACTGCACTCCAGGGTGGGCAATAGAGCAAGACTCTGTCTCGATAAAAAAGAAAAAAATAGAAAAAGAATGTTTAAAAGACATTGTCAAAGTAACACTGAGTCATTACTAGAACACTGGTATTCTATCTCATGAGCCAGGATTTTCTCTTTTTTATCATGAGGTCCTGTTTGTGACTGAAGAAATTAAATGTAGAGTTTTGTGTATAGTGGGCAGTGAGTGAATTCTGTTGTCTAACATACAGTTAATTCAAGTGAAATGTCTGCAGTTGGAGATCTAGAGTGTGTCACTCAAGATGGCCTATCCACTTAGTATCTTGGCTGGCTGTAGAAGCCAGTACTTAGGCAGTATTCTGTCTTAGTGCTTTTGCACAGTAAAAACCTTCATTTCATTCTCACTAAAGTTTTGTGACATTGTATGCTCAGTGAAACTATATAAGAGATCAGAAATCAGTGGAATAAGATTTTGACAGGATAATGGTTTCCTGGGGCATTATAAATTCATAATACATAGACACTTAATTTTCAAAGCTGGAAACTATTATCTAGTGACAGTGTTCTGATCGATTTCCAATATTATGAAATGATAAAACTAAATTAGCGGCCATTTGTATCTGCTTCGGGACAACATAGGTATATTTTGGACAAACATGACTATATCATTGTTTATTCATATAAAACAAAGTAATTCTATTTAAAAAAGACAGTATATTAAAGACAAATATCTGATATTTTTTCCACAATATTTTAGTATTTTTTTAAAAATATATATATATATTTTTTTTTATTATACTTTGAGTTCTAGGGTACATGTGCATAACGTGCAGGTTTGTTACATATGTATACTTGTGCCATGTTGGTGTGCTGCAGCCATCAATTCGTCAGCACCCATCAACTCGTCATTTACATCAGGTATAACTCCCAATGCAATCCCTCCCCCTTCCCCCCCATATTTTAGTATTTTAAGCTCACTGTCAACACTAAGAAGCAAGTGAAACATCTGATTTTCACATTTGCAGTAAAGATATGTGTCCTGTGTGCTTTTAGGAAGGCATGACTCTTTAGCAAAGTGTTTCCATTTGAGTATTAAATGAAAACATGTTGGTCAGTGCTTAAGAAGTTGAACTGACGTAGGAAATTGTGATCTGATATTATGAATTTTGATAGGTGAGTTGATATGAAAACACAACATCCCTAAATGCATTTGGGTTAATAATTCGGAAATGTTTGTATTTTCTATTTTAAACATTTTATTTATTTTTATGTTTTCAGGTTTGCTATTAGAAAGATAATGCTCTTGGAATTTAGGTAAGTCATAAGGCATTCCGTTGATGAAAACGATAATAATGTGATTTCAGTTTTAGCTAAATTTTCTGTGTATTTCTGTGAGTGACTAAGAAAATCTAAATCTGTGAAGATATATATTTCGGTGATTGGCTTATTTTGGAATATGTGTGTAATAGCCTTTGTTTTCAAAGATGATGGCCCATTGTCAGAATAACTTGTATTTTGATTTTTTTCTTACTTGTTAAGGTAGCATGTGGTGAATAATTTCTGAACTCAAACTTGGTTTCTCTAGTGATCAGTGGAAATAGAGTGTGTTCTATAGCTGTTTTCCCTGCCAAGCTAAAATGTTATCATCAAGGTAGCATTGTTCCAGTCTAGCTACTGGTAATATAACTATTTCAGACAAAAGATAATGTATGATTTTTAGATTGCAAAAGTAGATTAGATTATGTTACAACCAGATCTAGCCAGTATACTGAAAGTAAAAGCCAGGATTGTTGTTGATGATAGCTACATTTACCATTTCTCAAACAGAACACCTGTTTTGTGCTCACCAGTGTTAAGCATTTTACGTACAGAGTACTCACAACAATCCTGTGAAGTAAGTACTATCCTCAGCATTTACAGGAAACAGAAGCTGAGATCAGAGAGGTTAAATACTTTGCTCTAAGTAATTGGCAGGGCTGGGATACCAATGTCTGATGCCAAAGCTCATGGTTTTCCACTTCTCTACACTTCCTTGACATCTGGTTTACATCAGAGGTCAGGACCTCTGTGTTAATAATTGTTACTCCTGCATCCACAGATTTGATCCTCACAAAAAAATGACATGAAGGAGATGGTCTTATCATTTTTATAGAGGGAAACTGAAATTTATTATGAATTAACTAGTAAGTTGAGTGCCACCTGTATCCTAAGGACTGCATTATTATTAAATGATCTTATTTAATCCTCACAACACCACCAGTAAGATCTTTCTTATTTTATAGGGGAGGAAACTGAGGCTAGAAACTGGACCCGTCTGGCCCTGAAATAAATATGCTCTTTCCATCATATTGTGCCTCCTTTCAACAAGACAGATTAAAATCAAGAGGCTACCAATATGCAATTAGGATTAACCAGAATTCTAGAGTCCAGAAACCAAGAGAATTGCAGGAATTGAAGGAGAAAGCAAGAAAACAGATTGAAAGCATCAATGACAGTGAAACTTTTTTTCTTTTTTTAAGACAAAGTCTTGCTCTGTCGCCAGGCTGGAGTGCAGTGGTGCGATCTCAGCTCGCTGCAACCTTCACTTCCCGGGTAGAAGCGATTCTCCTGCCTCAGCCTCCCGAGTAGCTGGGATTACAGGTGTGCACCACCACACCTGGCTAATTTTTGTATTTTTAGTAGAGACGGGGTTTCACCATGTTGGCCAGGTTGATCTCGATTTCTTGACCTCGTGATCGCCCGCCTCGGCTTTCCAAAGTGCTGGGATTATAGGCGTGAGCCACCGTGCCTGGCGTGCTGCTTCTTTTAGGGAAAAACAGTAAGATAGGGAAAGCTAAGTTGCCCTTTTTTCTCCATGGCCATCAAAGTCCTTTGGCTTAGTTTCTTTTGCTAACGAGGCTCTGATTTCTCCCCTGTAGCAGCAGCATCAAAACTGACAGTGAAAAATTTTTAATAGCTGAAAAAGTCGGTTGTTACCTTTCAGGAACTTTTATTTAATTTTATGTGACAATATCATTTTCCCTGGGCCAACTTTCAAACATAACCCGTCTAAGGTTGTTGTGGAGAGTAATTGACGGTTTCTTGCTAAAGTGGAAAGTAAGATGGCATGGAGAAGGTAGCTGGATATAGGAAAGCGAACTGAGTAAAGGGTTTTTGTGGATGAAAATTATTAGAGGAAGGCATCAATTAGCAAAGTAAATAACATGTTAGTGCAGCTAAAGAAGGAATTAGTGAACTAGAAAATAGATCTGAGGGAATTAACTAGAAAATAGCAAAGAGAAGTAAAAATGAAAAATAGGAAAGAAAATAAGATACATGGAGGCTAGAATGAGAAGGCTTAGTAAGAGTTTCAGAAGTTTGTTTGTTTTTTGTTTTTTTTTTTTTAGTTTTAGAGATGGGGACTCACTCTGTTGCCCAGGTTGGAGTACAGTGGCACAATCATGGCTCACTGCAACCTCAACCCCCTAAGCTCAAGCAATCCTCCTACGTCAGCCTCCTGAGTAGTTGGGACCACAGGTGTACACCGTCACACCTGGCTGGTGGTTTTTTTTTTTTCTTTCTTTTTTTTTTGTAGAAACAAGGTCTCACTATGTTGCCCAGGCTGGTCTCAAACTCCTGGGCTCCAGCAATCCACCCACTTTGGCCTCCCAAAGTGCTGGGATTACAGGTGTCAGCCACTACGCCTGGCCTCATTTTGTTTTAGAACTGATATTTATCAGGTATTTTTGGGTTTTCCTTTTTTTTATTTTTTGAGACGGAGTCTCGCTCTGTTGCCAGGCTGTAGTGCAGTGACGTAATCTTAGCTTACTGCAGTCTCTGCCTCCTGGGTTCAAGTGATTCTCCTGCCTCAGCCTCCCGAGTAGCTGGGACTACAGGCACACGCCACCATGCCCAGCTAATTTTTGTACTTTTAGTAGAGAGATGGGGGTTCACCATGTTGGCCAGGATGGTCTGGATCTCTTGACCTCATGATCTGCCCGCCTCAGCCTCCCAAAGTGCTTGGATTGTAGGCGTGAGCCACTGTGCTCGGCCAACTTTTACTTTAAGAAGAGCCTTAAAGACCAAGTGCAGTGGCTCGTGCCTGTAATTCCAGCACTTTGGGAGACTGAGGCGGGTGGGTCACCTGAGGTCGAGAGTTCAAGACCAGCCTGACCAACATGGAGAATCCCTGTCCCTACTAAAAATACAAAAAATTAGCCAGGCATGGTGGCGCATGCCTGTAATCCCAGCTACTCAGGAGGCAGAACCAGGAGAATCACTTGAACCCGGGAGGTGGAGGTTGCAGTGAGCCTAGATCATGCCATTGTACTCCAGTCTGGGCATCAAGAGCAAAACTCCATCTCAAAAAAAAGCGCCTTAAGTAAGGGAATATCCAGTGGTTTGGTGGTGATAATTATGTATGTTGGCAACGTTTGATACCTTTGTATTTGAATGTGTAAGACTGTCATTCTCCAAAGCTGTGTTTTCTATACATAAATTTGTAGCTGGTAGCAGTGACCTAGACAACAGGTAAGATTTGTGAAGGTCTCCAAATTTTTTTTTTTTTTTTTTTTTTGAGACCGGAGTCTCGCTCTGTACCCAGGCTAGAGTGCAGTGGCGTTGGTCTCGGGCTCACTGCAAGCTCCGCTCCCGGGTTTCACGCCATTCTCCTGCCTCAGCCTCCCAAGTAGCTGGACTACAGGCACCGCCACCTCGCTGGCTAGTTTTTTTTGTATTTTTTAGTAGAGATGGGGTTTTCACCGTGTTAGCCAGGATGGTCTCGATCTCCTGACCTCGTGATCCGCCTGTCTCGCCTCCCAAAGTGCTGGGATTACAGGCTTGAGCTCACTGCGCCCGCCCTTTTTTTTGTTTGTTTTTGAAGATGGGGTCTAGCTCTGTTTGCCAGGCTGGAGTATAGTGGTGCAATCTCAGCTCACTGCATCCTCTTCTTCCCGGGTTCAAGCGATTCTCCTGCCTCAGCCCCCTGAGTAGCTGGGATTACAGGAGTGTGCCACCACACCCAGCTAATTTTTGTATTTTTAATAGAGATGGGGTTTCACCATATCACAATTCCTGACCTCAAGTGATCCAGCCACCTTGGCCTCCCAAAGATTACAGGCATGAGCTATGACACCCAGCCAAGGATTCCAAGTTATAAATAGAGATTTCCAAAATATTTTCAGAAAGTTGTAAATAATTGTGCTTTTCTGGGTGAGTTATACATTACAGTGAGTGGTGGTAACTAATGAAATATTCTGTGCTTTTTACTCTTTATAGCCAGTATCTTGAAAATTATCTCTGGATGAATTACTCTCCTGAGGTATCCAGCAAGGCCTATTTAATGTCAATTTGCTGTATGGTGAATGAGAAGTTCAGAGAAAACGTGCCTGCATGGGAGGTAACTGATTTAAATTACTTCATAGCTTTCATACTGACCCACTTAAGCCATTACAAAGTGGCAGAACTTTTACTGATAGTGGTGCTTTTAGAGCAGAATTTTACCTAGCATTAAAGCAAATACTGAGTAAAAGAATGGGTATGTGAAAGATACATTTTCTTTTGGTTTCAACACTTTCTTCAAACGATTTAATAATTTACTATGAATTGAAAATTTATGAATGTGAGTTATTTTTCTGCTTTGTGTTTGAAACAAAGAATGGTATATGTTATAACAACTTACATCAGGAGCTGGCAAAATGGAAATTATATTAATAAGTACAAATAGGCTGAGTGCTGTCACTCATGCCTGTAATCCTGTACTTTGGAAGGCTGAGGTGGGAGGATTGCTTGAGGACGGGAGTTCAAGACCAGCCTGGGCAACAAAGCAAAAACCTGTCTCTTTAAAAAAAAAAAATTAGCCAGGCATGGTGGCGTGAGTCTGTAGTCCCAGCTACCTGGGAGACTGAGGCAAGAGGACCGCTTCAGCCTAGGAGTTCGAGGCTGCAATCAACTATGATTGCACCACAGCACTCCAGCTGGGTAATAGAGCGAGACCCTGTCTCTAAGAAGAGAAAAAGTGCAAGTATATAATGTTCAAATGAGATACTTCTCAGTGTCTTTTTTCACAAGAGAAAGTGTATATTTGTAGTTTTACATGAATAAAAAAAAGTTACCAAAGTCAAGACAGATGCTTATGTTATAATTTCAACGTTCTTTTTTTTTTTTTTTGAAACTGAATTTCGCTCTTGTCATCCAGGCTGGAGTGCAAATGGCGTGATCTCAGCTCACTGCAACCTCTGCCTCCCAGGTTCCAGCAATTCTCCTGCCTCAGCCTCCCGAGAAGCTGGGATTACAGGTGCCTGCCACCATGCCCAGCTAATTTTTGTGTTTTTAGTTGAGACGGGGTTTCACCATGTTGGCCAGGCTGGTGTCGAACTCCTGACCTCAGGTGATCCACCCGCCTTGTGCAGGGATTACAGGCATGAGTAACCGTGCCCTGCCTGTTCTTTTTGTCCTTGATTTGGGATCTATTTTTCCTTTTAGAAATTTCTAATGCACTGATGTTTCCTTTTTGTGCTGGTGCAACAGAAGCTTGATAAGTAGAGATCCAAAACCTTTGTTTTCTTTGCCCAGCATATAATGGTCACTTCATCAAGAGTTTCTTCTCTTCCAGTCAGACTTTTTTAAATGAAAAAAAAAAAAAAAAAAAAGGAATGGATGCCTGTCATCTGTTTTGAGTAAATGGTCTCCGAAGTGAGAAGGTGGTAGAGTCTTTAAGATAAAGCCATGGATACTTCTCTCAAATATTCATTAAATGACTACCATCTCAGGGCACATTAGAGCTCAAAATAAACTATGGGTTTTATGTCGATATCAAGAGAGCCTCGGGATTTCTTGAAGTTGCTTCAAGCTATTATAGAAAGGAAGAAGGAAAATTTTTTGAGCCAGGGAATAACCTGGTCAATTTGCCTGTTATAAAGATCACTTTGGTGATTAGGCCTTGAAATAGAGAAATAATAATACAGATTTAGAGAATATACAGAGATTTAGAAGGTAGAATTGATTGAATTTGATAATCAGTTGAAGTAGCATTAGGAAAGGGTGTTATTTTCAATAACCTTCCAGGCTTGGGCAAATGAATATAATAGATGATGGTACCATTTACCAAGATAGGTAATAGAGACTGAGGAATAATTTGGAGGATACAAAACTGTTGAATTGAATTTGGACATATTCAGTTTAAATTGCCTTTGGAATATCTAGATTTAAGTCATCTAGTAGACAGAGGACTCTAAGGTTTGAGAGCTCAGAAGGGAAATCTAGACTGCACATGTATATTTGGAATCATTGGTATTTAGTGGTTGAAGTAATAGGGGGAGAAGAATGAGGCTAGAACCCTAGGAATATTGCTGTTTAGATAACAGACGAAAGAAAAAGAGCCTTCAATATGCTGAAAGGGAGTTGAGGCTTCATAACGGTCCATACGACTTGACAGCCATACAGCTTCAGGAGAGCTTGCCTTAGAGAAGTGAATGAAAACAACTAGCGTAGACCACACGCTTGGAGTGCTTGTCTGCGGCAGTAACTAGAAACAGAGGTAGGTCAAAGAGGCTTGAATATATTTACATTATATATAACTTAAGAGTAAGGAGCTAATATAAAGCAGGAGTGGCTGTCCTTGAGATTAATTACAGTGTGAAAACTACAATTTTTGCTAAAGATGTAGTTTCTTTTGTTTAAATCAGAGAAATTAAAACACTTCAGATCCATAATAAGAAAACAAAGCCTAAGCCAAATACAGGCATAATCCACAGAGGAAAAACTAAAGAAATTAAAGCCATTATTTTATTAGCTAAAAGTTTCTGCAACTCTCATAGTCCTGTCAGAAACCTGTATTTGACTTGCCATTAATTATAAGTAAGCACGTGATGCTTATTTTATAGATACACAAATAACTCTTTTGTAATTATTTGGTTTTTTTAATAGACTGCTAAAAAGCCTACTAGGGCTTCTTTAAAGCTTAAGTGAGCAAACCAATTCAAAATGAATTTTTATTCTTTTTCTTTTCAGATTTTTAAGAAGAAGCCAGACCACTTCCCATTCTTTTTTAAACACATCTTGAAGGCGGCCTTAGCTGAAACTGATGGTGAATTTTCACTTCATGAACAGACAGTCTTACTACTTTTTCTTGATCATTGCTTCAATAGTTTGGTACTTTTACTTTATATTTTGGGGTAATTTTCAAGTTTTCTTGTTCTTTTAGGTTGAGTTTAGATGAAATTACCTCTGTAGCCAACTCTTCATCCATAATAGTGGCGAGTAAGGATAATGCTTAGCTTGATTTCAGCCACTTATCAGCAAAACCATTTTGTAAGATATGTTCACTTTTTAATAGATTTGAACTTGATACTTAATTTTTTCTATCTAGACTCTTAAGAAAAATGATTATAAGAACTGAAACTCCAAAGAGAGAGCACAAAAAGGAGAAGCAGCAAGGAGACTGGTTAATATGGAATTGTAGTAATGAGATCTGTGCCACAAACTGCATATATATACAGGGATGTAGTTTCATTACTTTTCATCATGCCTTATGCACAGGCTGGTTGGTCAGTAGGAGAGTTGTATTTTGAGTTAACTGATAAAGGCCATTTGTAGATGATCTTTGAAAATGTCTTGTGTGTGATACATTTTCATCCCTCATAAGATTATCTTCTAAAAAATTAAATTTTTTCAGTAATTAATGTTTTATTTGAGTTTTCCTACTGTGGTTATCTGATAAATATACATATTTATCTAGTGCCTCTGAATTGATAATTCACTTACACCCATGCAGGAGAATGCACGGAGTTCTTTCTTATCCTGAAGACTGAGTGTTAATAGATGGATAGTTATTAGCTGTTTCCATGTACTATCTCACATGGATCTTTTAAAGGCATAAAAAAAGATTTATGATGCCTGCACTGGATACCACTGTTATCTCTTTAACATTTATTAAACTAAACAGAACAAATAGAAATATAAATAGATGTGATTTCTTATCAGAAACTAAGCAGAAATAAGATTTTATTAGTATTAGTAATTTGGTGATAGTTTTAACCAACTTACCAAACTAGTTTATTATTGAAATGCTTTATCTTTTAAAATATGCAGTCAATTCTTATTTGAGGTAGTTACGTTCATTTTATAAAGTAGCTATGAACACTGAATGAGCTAATGCTGAACCATTACTCCTTGAGGAAGTACAGGGTTAGGTTCCTGCAAGCGTTGGTCATGACATTATACAAACTATCAATACATAGCCTTATTTTATGTGTGTTTCTATTTAAAGACAGCTTATTTATTGTATATTGTTGATTCATTAACCATGAACTCACTGCCAACAGCACTATAATTATGCCTGAACGAAGCTTGTCTAACATACGTATTTTCTCTGTAAGACATATCACAGCCTTCTTGCACCCATGAATATCAGACAGCACTTCAGCCTTGAGCTTGGTGCCATTTTAAACAGTGAAATCATCAAAAAGCACAAACATGCCAAAAAAAAAAGTACTCAATGAGAATGAAGCAGAGCATCAGTTCAGTCTCACCTGAGAATGTGCATGTCAGGCAACTCAGATTTTTGTCTTGGCCGGGCGCGGTGGCTCAAGCCTGTAATCCCAGCACTTTGGGAGGCCGAGACGGGCGGATCACGAGGTCAGGAGATCGAGACCATCCTGGCTAACACGGTGAAACCCCGTCTCTACTAAAAAATACAAAAAACTAGCCGGGCGCGGTGGCGGGCGCCTGTAGTCCCAGCTACTTGGGAGGCTGAGGCAGGAGAATGGCGTGAACCCGGGAGGCGGAGCTTGCAGTGAGCTGAGATCCGGCCACTGCACTCCAGCCTGGGCGGCAGAGCGAGACTCCGTCTCAAAAAAAAAAAAAAATAAAAAATAAAAGATTTTTGTCTGGATGACTGTGAAAGCACATGGAGTATTGATTTTGGGGTTACAAATACATTTTTGTTAGTGTATGAATTTGCAAATACAAAATCTGTAAATAATAAGGATGGAATCTTTTTTAAAACATTGAACTTTTTAATATCAAAATATTAATTGGAAAATATTGATGGCGTGTTTTCCATCCAGGACTTAAAAAGGCAGTAATACTTCTTAATGTAAAGACTTAGGTAGAAATGCTGGTATGTTTATGAACTTGTTTCCTTCATGCCCTAAACAGGAGGTAGACTTGATACGGAGTCAAGTACAGCAGCTTATCTCCCTCCCAATGTGGATGGGCTTACAGCTGGTAAGTCTCTAATTTCAGAATCTTAGGAATGTATGTGTTATAAGTAGAGCATGTGGTTTTAGAGTCTATAGCCTTAATCTTGGATATACAAGTGGTAGGTAAATACCCCTTTTCTTAGAAAAACCACTTTGCATTAACTTACAGATCAAGTTTTTATGTGCATTCGATGTTTAACTTAATTTTAGTAATATAAAATGAAGAAGGTAATATCTATTGAACTTGTAGAGAAAGGGGGGTTAATTTAGCAAAGTATAGATGAGACTAAATGTGAACTTGAATTTTTTTTTCCTTGATTAGAGTATATATGTAGCTGTAGGAGAAGATCTGGATCATACCTAATATTAATGACTTCCATTTTTTCATAAAGTCTTCATTGGGTAATATGTGCAAGCACCAAAGCCAAATTAATACATCTTAGGTAAAGTTAAAACTATCAGATTTCAGTGTAATGCTTTATTCAGAGTTTCATTTCCTGCACATAGGTGTTTCTGCTTATACTCAGATATGCAGACTCATTCATAAGTACCAGTTGATGGGCATGAAAACATAAGGCACATATAAATAATTAATACTAAGTTAAAAAGTGACAACATGCTAATGTGGACATTTCCTTATTTACTTGTGATAGCTGTTTTTTGTGCATTTTTTCAGACTCATATTTTTCAAACTTCAGTGATTATGCTGTGTTGATGCATATATTTTTCAGACTTAGCTCTTTAAGTTTTGAAATAAAAAAATAATTATTGAGCTTACAATCTTGATTGCTCTCTTTTGTACTCATATATTAGAAAACTAGCAAATAGTTGATCTAATCCTTATCCTTGTAAACTTTGAGGTTACTGGTAATTTAATAACACATCTCTTCTTCAGGCACGATTGGAATTAGAATTAAAAAAGACACCTAAGCTAAGAAAATTCTGGAACTTGATTAAAAAGAATGATGAAAAGATGGATCCAGAAGCAAGAGAACAGTATGTTGGCAGAGCTTCATTTCATGTTGGCTTATTATGCTGGATTGTGGACTTTAGATGATGTTGACTGGTTTGTTGTTTCCCTTTATATAGTGCTGAGCCCAAATAAGTTATTATAATAAGTGCTTTTACCTAGACTGTCATAAGAATATTTTTCACAAAGATCTAAAGCAGAAGCCAGAACATCATGCTTTTCTTCTTTTCCTTCTTTCTGTGCTACTAAGTATATATAGTTGACCCACTGTTTTTCTCCCTGCCTATTGTCCGTGTCCCTCATGGATGATTCTCAATTTGCTCCACTATCTTTAGGCTATTAATATAACTTTTTGTTTCTTTTCTTACTCCTTCACTTTTTTTTGGAGACCAAGTTTCACTCTTGTTGCCCAGGCTGGAGTGCAATAGTGCAACTGTGGCTCACTGCAACCTCTGCCTCCCAGGTTCAAGCGACTCTCCTGCCCCAGCCTCCAAGTAGCTGGGGGATTCTAGGCATGCGCCACCACGCCCAGCTAAGTTTTTATTTATAGTAGAGATGGGGTTTCTCCATGTTGGTCAGGCTGGTCTCGAACTCCCGACCTCAGGTTGTCCGCCTGCCTTGGCCTCCCAAAGTGCTGGGATTACAGGCATAAGCCACTGCGCCCAGCCTAACTCTAAACTTCTTACAAGGCTTTCAGAAGCTTCCAGCTGTTTCTTGTGACTCTTGTAAATCACTGGAATACTCTAGTCATTGTTTCTTAAGCATTTCTTTCCTAAATCCCTTTCCTCTTCACTCCGCTTAATTGAATATTAACCATATAAACACTCTTCCAGACCAACTACTTTAGATCATAGTGCTTTCGTCTGAACTCCTAGAACACATGCTCTGATTTTTTTTGAAACACCAGCTGTTTATGTAATGATTGGTATGTTCTACAATCAGACTTAGCTAGATTCCACACTCAATTGCTGTATGAGTTTGGGCAAGTTACTTCACCTCTAAGCCTCATTGTGAAATCTGGACAATATTTCCCATTTCCGAGGACTGTTATCAGTATTAAATATGATGTGAAGGCCGGGTGCAGTGGCTCACACCTGTAATCCCAGCACCTTGGGAGGCCGAGGCAGGCGGATCACAAGGTCAGGAGATGAGACCATCCTGGCTAACGTGGTGAAACCCCGTCTCTACTAAAAAAAATGCAAAAAATTAGCCGGGCATGTGGCGGGTGCCTGTAGTCCCAGCTACTTGGGAGGCTGAGGCAGGAGAATGGCGTGAACCCGGGAGGCGGAGCTTGCAGTGAGCTGAGATCCGGC